AATGTATGGATTATAGAAATAATGGATATCTAATAATAATAGCGTAGAGTGGTTGTGAACACTAACTTAAATATTAATCTATCATAGAGTCTGAAATGAGGCACATTTTCATCAAGTTCATTATTTTGTTTGAGATTTCCTTATTCAACATATATTTTTTGAAAATTTACTATCAAATATAAATTCAGATGCTGAATAGTGATAAGTAGACAAGGTCCATACTCAGAAGTCTCCATGTTAGTAGTGAAGACAGACACACAAAAGATATATTCACCAATTATGATAAATGCTAACAAGGAAAATCATTTATTACACTAGACATAATGAAAAAAAAGTAATGTACTTATATAACTAATGCATCTTTGAAGATCACAAGTAGCAAAGAGGACAAGTTGTATTTATTTTTAAAGAAAAATATATCAAAAGATTTTTTCAACTCCAGGATATTTGACTTCTTTTCCTACTTTTTGTTTATTGATATTCCCTGCTGAAATGTTCTCATACTCTAACTCTTTAGACATGATTTTTTTCTTTGCTTTTATATGTTCTTGATATTAATACTTATATATTACATATGTATTATATATTAAATATGTATTATATATGTATATTAAACCAGCATCGTAGCTGGTTTAAAGTCTTTGTCTAGTAAATTCAACATTTAGATCCCTTAGGGACATTTTCTATTGACTGGGTTTTTAAAATATTTGCCGAAGTACGGCTGGGGGGGCGGTTGACGAACAACTTGTGTACCTTGATACAGCAGGAGTGGAAGCCGTTAATTGTAGGATAGGAGCTGTATTTATACATTCCACACAGCTTATCTTAATTAGCATAAACTAGATACAGGAATAGTCAACCAATCAGGAATCTCCACACTTAATGGCTCGATTTTGTTACTTCACAAACCACTCCCTCTGGCATTTTGCCAGGCGCCATCCAGACTTATTTACAGATTCGAACATTTCTCTGGCAAAATGCCAGGCACCATCCTGACTTGTTTACAGACTCTAACAAATATTTATTTTTTAGTTTTAGGTAAACACAGTATCTTTATTTTTTATTTTTATGTGGTATTAAGAATCAAACCCAGTGCCTCATTCAGGCCAGGTAAGCACTCTACCACTAAGCCACAACCCCAGTCTATTGTTTTTTGTTTTCCTGTATATGGTTATACTTTTGTTTATTTCAAAATTTATTAGAAACTGGGAGTCAGATTTACCCCACCCTCAGGGGTTATTATTATTGCTGTTTGGTTGTTGCTATTTTTTTTAACCAAACAGAATTTTACTTTTTATTTATATACCAGCAATGTGTTTTTTATTGATCAGTAAGTGGGTGGCTTTTAAGGACTCGTACTCTTTTCTTATATATAGGGGACTCTCAATTAGATATTAGGTGTTGCTGCTGAGGGTCACTTTCCTGAACTAATTCTATAAAGCCTTTATTCCCCATACTGTGCAGCCACTGAAGTCACTGTTTATTTTGCTTAGTAGTCAGCTAAGAGAGAGATCCTTAAATGCCTTGAATCAATAAACATTCTATTATTTGCTAAGGAGTTCTGTGTATGAGGACATGCCCTCAACACAACTCAGCCTTTCTGCTTGTGCAAGGCTTTTAGTCAATCAGGAGTGAGACACTGAGGCCCTCTCAAGTTCCCCTGAGCATGCTTTCAACTTTACAAGTGTACATTTGTGCAAACTTTTAGATTCCCCAGAAATACATCAGAGCTTTTCAAAGTCCCTGTGGACAGATTTTCCACTTTCATTTTGACCAGGCTCTTGTCTGCCCCACTCGCTGTCATAGTTGTTGGCAGCTATGATATTAAACAAATGCCACCAAAAAAAAAAAAAAGTCAAAAAACCATGGAGTTTTCAGTAGAGTTAACTCCACCTAAGGATTTAGAAAAAAAAAAGACAATTCCCCTCAAATGGGATTTGCAGGTCACATATTTTCAACGTTCTGGGGATAGAACTTTTTCAGGAGCCCCAGAGTGTCTACTGCCTCTGGTGACTGAATGGCCACTGGTTTTCCCAGAGACTGTGATTCCAAGATTGCTGGTTTTCAAGGATACAGTACAGGTGGACAATGTAGTGAGAGCAACACAAGTTAAAATGCCACAAAGCCCACTATTGTGAGACTCAGCAATTTTCTCACATCAACACTCCTTAGATTATTGATCTAGAAATTAAGTTTGGTTAATTCCAAGAGTTCTAAAATGTTGGTTTCAACCATTGTTGCTAGTTTTGATGTTATGGAGAGGTAGACTCACAGAGGTCCTCATCCTATCATTCTGGAGGCCCCAGCCTTTTGGGGAATACATTAGGCATGAAATGGTGTTTAAGACTAATTTTTTTTTTGGAAGTCATAATCTCTCTTTTTTTTTTCTTTTTTTATTGTTGGTCGTTCAAAACATTACATATTTCTTGATATATCATATTTCACAGTTTGATTCAAGAGGTTATGAACTCCCATTTTTACCCCGTATACAGATTGCTGTATCACATCAGTTACCCTTCCATTGATTGACATATTGCCTTTCTAGTGTCTGATGTATTCTGCTGTCAGTTCTATTCTCTACTATCCCCCCTCCCCTTTTCTCTCTCTACCCCTTCTACTGTAAATCATTTCTTCCATTTGTATTATCTTGTCTTACCCCTCCTTTACATAGTTCTTGATATATCATATTTCACATTTTGATTCAAGTGGGTTATGAACTCCCATTTTACCCCATATACAGATTGCTGAATCACATCAGTTACACTTCCATTGATTTACATATTGCCATTCTAGTGTTAAGACTAATTTAATGGCCACAGGAATGGAGACAATCAATGTGGGAGAAATTTTTTTCTTTTTTACAGCTTTATCAAGGTACTGTTGACATACCACAAAACTTACCCAATTTAAATGTAATTTAATGAGGTTTAGTACTTTAATGATTAAATTTTATGGGGTACAAAGTGTTATTTTGATTCCATATTTACATTGTGGAATGATCCGACTAAGTGGCATAACCATCATCTCAAGTATTAATTCTTTCTGAAATTATTTGAAATAAACAGTGAACTTTCTGTGATAGGAACACCAGAACTTATTCCTAATTATGCCTTTGTACCTGTTGATCAAAGTCTCCCCTTTTCCTTCCAATCAGACTACAGGAAGTATGGTAGTACTCTTGAGTTCAAGTTAAGATTCCACACACGGTGAGATCGTGCAGTGATTTCTCTCTCTTTGCCTGCCTTATTTCATGTAATGTTCTCTAGGTTCACTCATGTTACAAATGACAGAATTTCCTGGTTTGTTTTCTAACTGAACAGTATTACATTGTGTGTATATGCCACATTTTAAAATTCATTTGTCAGTTGATGGACTCTTAAGCTGTTTCAGTGTAGCAGAAATTTTAAGTAAATATTCTGTATAACTTTGTGCTAGAATATGGTGCCAAGAAATAAGGCAGAAATGATATCATGCCTACTGTTATTTTCTTCCTGACTAAACTGCATTGTGTTCATTTGGAGGATGAGGTGATTCCTTTTCAGATTCACCTATATTTCCAGTTCAAAGGAGCTCACAAAAATCTCAACTAAAAAACTAAATTTCTGATCAATGTACCACTGGTCCTCAGGAAGTCACTTTTGTATTGTGGCAAGATGGATAAGCAAGTCTATGTAACAATTCATCCTGGTGCCCAAAACCAACATAGGAAAAACTGTTCATAATACAACTTTTCCAGATGATGCTCAGAAATACTTTGCACTGGGTCTCCCATGCAGGAAAGCTGAGGAATTTATCTGTGCTGAACAGCAGGATCCCATGAGTGTTCTATGAGTGTATTAACCATCTTTTTTTAAATTTCTGTTTTTAGTTATAGATGGACACAATACCTTTATTTTTATGTGTTGCTGAGGATCAAACCCAGTGCCTCACACATTCAAGGGAAGCACTGAGCCACAACCCCAGCCCCTATTAATGATCTGTTGAAGGCACAATTATGTTGCAACTCCACTGACTTACTGTTAAGTCAGCTTTTTGTTTGTGTTAACCAGATACAGGCTACTTATGAGGAAAAGAGGTCTATTTAGCTCCAATTTTGAAAGCTCACAGTTCAAATGGCATAGCACGGGCTCAACTGAGGGCCTCTCCACAGCTGCATCACCTCATGTCAGTCAGCAATGGCAGAGGGGTGTAGATTAAGATTACTTCTCCAACAAGGGAGAAGAGAAAAGTGTGAGAAGCTGAGCTTACTTCCTTTATACTCTCTAGCAAGAACTATCTCATACTCCCAGTGACCAAAGGACCTCCCACTAGGGCCCCACCTCCCAATATCACCACCCTGGGAACCAAGCCTCCAATCACATGAACTTTTAGGGGCCAAATTAAACCATATCTAAACAATAGCACTTAACCACTACTTAAATTTCCTTTCATTCCTAACAGTGTATGAGGGTGAACAATCAAGGTCCTGTTTGGGTGATGCTTGGATCCTCAGTACCCACCATAGGGCCAGGCCTGTAGAAGGGGTACAAGTAATAATTGTTAAATGTATGAATAAACTATTGTTTTGTGTATGATTGGTTTGGTGATAAATGTAAATTATAATTCTCAGTCACGCCTGTCACAATAGTTGTAAAAAGTCTATTTGTGGATAACCTCTAGGTGTGCCCCCATTTCAATGGATTATAAGAAGCTTTTCCCCTAACATAAGAACCGACACTGGGGGCTGGGGATGTGGCTCAAGCGGTAGCGCGCTCGCCTAGCATGCGTGCTGCCCGGGTTCGATCCTCAGCAGCACCACATACCAACAAAGATGTTGTGTTCACCAAGAACTAAGAAAAACTAAATAAATGTTAAAAAAATTCTCTCTCTCTCTCTCTGTCCCCCTCT